TTGGTGAAAAGGGTTCAGTTCGTGGTACATGTCGTGGTTACTTGGTAACAAAAATAAGAAGAGGATGAAACACAAGTCTGGACGTACACACGTTTCATCTTCAATCACACACACCCTCCCTCGCCGACACACACACACTGACACACAGATAAAGCAGGACTTTTACGAGGGTCATCTGAAGTGCATAGAGGAAAACCTGAACTGTCTTCTGCAACTGTCGGGACAGAGATATCCAATCATACTCCTGTGTTTTCTGCCCGTAACGGTCTCTCACGTTGCCCAAAGTCTCTCAGGGAAAACGACACAAACAGTGTATGTGATAGAATCACACCGACAGGTACAAAGAGAAAAACAGTACAAAAAGTCGAGTAAACAAAAACAAGGCTGCTGGTCCGCTCCAGCGGCCGTGTTCAAACCGAGGTCTCGGACTGAAGCAGCAGCAGGAACTTGTGAGTCTTGGGGTCGATGTACTCCTCCGTCAGTCGAATGTAAGGGATGCTCTTGACGGTGACTGCTAAGCTAAAGTCGAGACACCTCAACAGGAACTCTGAGCCCTGCTTTATGCCGCTGGTGACGGAGGCCTCGCTGATCAAGGTCCATTGATCTGCCATCCAGCGCTCAGGTCCGTACTGCAGAGTTGGACCGGGGGCCAAATAGGTTTCCAGGAAGGCCTGCACACACACACACACACACACACTTGAATGGCTAAAAGTGTTGAAACAACGTGTTATTATAGTGACAAGCTTCGACTGTTGTTGTTGTTCAAAGGTCGAAGCTTCGACTGTTGTTGTTGTTCAAAGGTTGAAGTTGAATCACATGGTAAAAAATCCACAGTTATGCCGTACGACTGACCTTTGGGCTCATGTTGTTAGTGAGACAGAAAGCGAGGTGCTTCTGAATGTTCTCCATGCTGTGACAGTGCTGCCTCTTAGTGGTGCGGAGGTATTTCTGCAGCGCACGTGCCATAGATGGGAATATGGCGAGAGCTGCTTCATGGACATCCATGATGTCAGACGGAGATGCACGCTCGTCCTCCTTCTTCATCCGCCGGACGTGAGTGAAGGCTTCCTCTACAGCAACCACCAGCCTGACGGGGAGATTACAGTGAACTACTGTAGGCTTTCTTTTCTTTTTCTAAATGTTGTCTTTGTTTAATGATCATCTAATTTAAGGCGAGGTGGAATGGCTCTCGTTTCGTCATCATTACTTTGGAGTAAGTAATGATGACATCATCACGTAACTTAGCTTTGGAGTAAGTAATGATGACATCATCTATCACGTAACTTATGGAAGCTTCACCGATGTTTTCTTTCATTACTGATGTTGCTACATACTGTTACATACTGCAAGTACTGTTTAGTTTAGTTAGTACTAAAGTTAAAATAAAAAAAATAAAAATGTTTACATTTTAAAGGTCAGACCAAGATCAGGATTTATTTATATAATTTTTATAATAATTTTCTTTTCATTTTCTACTACAATTATTTTGTAATGATTTCACAGCTTTTATCCTCACTTGACAAAACATAATAGTCATAGTTGAATTTTAAGTTTTACTGATTATTTTACAGTAAACGTCTTCCTCTTGTGCAGCTGCTTCAGACACAGCAGACAGAAGTGCATTTTCATCCCCACGGTCCTCGTCTAAGGACTTAACGAATCAATATCTCACCCTGTGACGTGACCTACTTTCTTCCCGCGGACTCACCTGGCTCTGCGCTTGCGTACTCTCCTCTCATAGTCCGCCTCCTCGTAGTACAGCTCATTGTGGGCGCTGTCCTTGCGTTTGGCGGCGGCGGCGGCGGAAGCCATCGCTCTTGACTGAGTGCCGTTGGCAGGCTGAGCCCCCGCAGCGTTCCCCGGGGCTGCACCGAAACAAAGGAAAGTGGCAAATTGGTTACATTTGTTTTGGCTGTTGGACGACGCGGGCCCCTCCTGACCCAACAAGACTGTGATTAATGAGCCGCAGCTCAGTCTGGATCTCAGACACAAAGGATCACAATGTAGGAGGAAACATGTTTCTTAGAAACAATCCACGATTTAGGACTTTTAGTTTTTTAAATCTCACTGACTTTCAATTTATCTCAGTGATCATATTTAGAAAATATCTGAGACAGAGTCATATAAAACTGATTTTTTTACAGTACAGAATAGACTGTACAATAAGGATACAGTAGAGATATTTTAAATGTGATAATAATATTAATAAAAATACAAAATACTACATATGATTACAGGTATGTACCTCGTAGGTTTACAAAGAAGAAAAGACAAATGTGTCTAAGTTACACACAGAAAATTAATTGGAAGTCTTTTTTTTTCTTCTTTTTTTTTATCCTGCAGAAATCTTTTCTTCGGGGGGCTACTGGGAGTTGCCGGGTAGATTAGATATTCATCGTTTACACCCCACAGAGTAAGATCTTGTCTGATCTTTGAATGTTCTGTGATTTATGTGACACATCCATGGAGCTGATGAAGGCTGTACTGCAGCTTATATCACAGCTCGTACTGTAAAGATCTGGTCCATATTCCTGAAGTAAAGTTTGGAGGAGGTTAATGACGTCTGTGCTGCAGGTCAGTTCAATATGTTAAATATTAAACAGTCAAATCTGCATAGAGACCTGTGTCAGTGAGGAGTCAGGTCATTTACATTTCACAGGTGTGGGAATGTTGGCAGAAAAATGTCCGAGGGAAATACTGACTTTTTCTTACTATGTGGCCACATATTCACGGAAGAAAGAGCGAAGTGAATCATAAACAGGGATAAACGACAGCATGGGTGGGGCCGGAGTGAAGGGAAAATGGAATGAAAAAAAGTGAAGGAATCGAAAGCAAGAGTGAGGCAACCTGAGACGTGGGAGTGGGTGAGATACCAGTGTTGCCCTGATGAATTATTTAAGGCCTGAAATTTCAAAGCTCTCAAGAGGTCTTTCCTCTGCACTTTGATCAAGAAGACGGCGGAGGGTGAGGAGTGGGGGTTTCCCACAATGCATCCTGGTTTCTAATCCACGGTGCTGTGAACGTGATTGATGCTGATGGAGGACGGCTTAAACTGCAGGGGCAGATGTATCCCAGAGTGTGGGTGTGAGGATACAGATACGGCCCAGGCCGTGGGGGGATCTCCACATGCAGTACTGTGTGTACAGGGGTATTAGAGTGCAGCCAAAGACAGGGGTCAAGTGGACGGGGGGAAACCATCAGGTCCCTGTGATTTAGTGCTGAGTGATTGATGACCTTTATCTGTACTTACTGTCCAGAAGGTATGTTCTTAGTTTGTTTTTAAAAGCTGCTCGGGGAAGAGAGAAAAAACAATACCAGCGTCACTTTGAGAACGAACGAGCAGAAAAGGTAGAGGAGTGACCGGGACTCGTATAACGTGAGAACGAACGAGCAGAAAAGGTAGAGTGACCGGGACTCGTATAACATGGAAACTTTTGTTAAAAAATTATATTTATTGTAGTCAGGGCTGTCAGTTGAGTTCAGGTGTTCATCTGAATAATCACTGTTGATTAGGATTATCTAACATTCATAAACAGGTGTATCGCTGGAACAGACGGGCAGGTAGAGGAGCCAACCTGCTACAGTCAGGTCTCTTCTCTGTTCCTGCTGTGTGGGTTAATCATGTCATCACACTCACCTGTGTCTCTGTCATTAGTCTCACTGGTGTCACCTGGTACCCTGTGTATATATATACCTCTCTCCCGCACTCTGTCTTGTGCTTAGTAGTTCATGCCTTGCCTGGTTTCTGGCTTGTGAAGATGTGAGTTTTTGTTGTTTTGGCTTTGCACTTTGAAATAGACTACCTCCACCAGAAAGATTCTCTCCACTGCTGCATGTGGGTCCTGCCTGCTTACTGCCATGTTGATGGTCAAACCTGACAGTGTCTTTGCTTCGTCTATAAGTCCAGTTCTTTTCAACTATTTTCTCCGTTTTGGCAAAAGCAACAAATCTCTTTATCTAAATCTCCACCAAAGTTTCAGTCATTTCACAGCTCAACACCTGGGGCAGTGGTGGCTTAGTGGTTAAGGGCAAGTTTCACTTTGGTGATGGGGTTAAATGCAGAGGTCACATTTGGTTGTGTGCAGTGGTGTGCTGTGTCACAATGACAAGGAGTTCACGTTCCTTCCTGATGAAGATTTACTTGTAAACACTGATGAAGACGTGACAGATTTTAGTGATTGAAATCAGACACCTTTTGAAATGTCTGATGATTAAAGAACAGCATAAAACTTTGTTCTTAAACCACAGATGTGTAACCCTAATATGAGGAAAAAAAGTGAGAAAAGGCTCAGACAGATGACGTAACTCACCATCTACGTTATAGACCTTTAACTCAGCCAGATGTTTGGCCGCTCGCTGCTTGGCGGCAGAGAGAAGAGACGGATTGTGAAGAGGAAAATCTCTGTAGTAAAACTCCAAAATGGACAGAGCAGCTCTCTGAATACTGTACAGGACAAAGACAAGGAGAGACAGAGACAGAGGCTGTATGAACAGGACAGTAGGCTGGGACTGTTGAACTTTACCAGATTATCAGCTCACTGACATGACTGTGTACGGGGACACGGTGGTCAGTTGTGTGTTTGAATCTGAACTGGTACCTCGTCTGTCCTACGTTGTAGTGACGCGTCTCTCCGTCTGTGGACCGGATGACGCACACACTGTAACAGGGCTGCAGCTGGCGGAGCTGCAACAGCACCACAGCCAGGTAGTGGACGAACAGCTGAGAGTCCACAAGGGACACGGCAAACTGGACGATACCGTGGTAGTCTTCATCCTGCGTGATCCAATTCAAGAAACATTACAGATATTTATTTATTTATTCTTTAATCGAACATGATTTTTTTTACCTTTTTATTTTCATTTTTTGGTTTGGAAAAACAAAATGAAAAAATAAACAAATGTAGGACAATCCCAACTCAACAACAACAACAACGTGGTTCTTTAATAAAACTTCCAACCATCGTATGGCAGCGTTACCTAATAATAATTTAATAAAACTTCCAACCATCGTATGGCAGAGTTACCTAATAATAATTTAAAAAAAAAATATAATTATCTTTAGAAAAAAAACATCAGCTCACCTGTGGATCAAGGATCCTGACTCCGTAGAAGAGCCAGTAGGACATGGTCAGCAGGAGTGTGAGCGTGGTGAGGAAGGCACGGTATACACACATCCTGGGCAGACTGGCTCGCCCCGGTCGGAGGAACAAGGCCCAAATGGCCACCAGCAGCATGAGGAGCTTGAAGGCGATGGAGAGGAAAAGACCCTCACAGGCCGCACCGCACGCCTGCAGTCTGTCAGGCCACATCACAGCAGGAAGAAGCAGGAAGTCCAGGGGCGTGGCCAGCACCAGCAGGCCCACACACAAACCCACAGCTAGGGGGAGGTAGCGGCGGAAGCTGTGGGTGCGATCCTGAATCCCTTTCCCGAGGCCGACCACCTCCTCCTGAGAGACGCTCAGCTCTGAAGTGCCCGTGACGGCTGTAGTGGTTTCTCCCCAGTTGTCATCCTGACACAGGAAACAGGAAGACAAACGATATTGATAGGTTTTACATTTAAAAATCAATGCGCAACAAATTTAAAAAAACACAAAATTTAATTTGTGTTTATGCACTTTCTCACAAGGCTGCCACAAAAAAAAAAAAAAAAAATCAGGACCCTTCTGTTTTAAGAAGGCTTTTATTTTAATGCACTTCTCATTTATTCATGAAATGAGGTCTTAATTGTCCCCCAGACTGTCATCAACTGTGACCAGTGACAGGAGCAGCAGCTGTGAGACCAGGCAGTAAACACCACCTTACTTTACACATGTAGCGACACACAACAATCCCAGCTTTATAACAAGCCTCTTCTTCCGGATTGAGATTTTTAATACAAACTTCCTGTTTTTGTTTGTGGAAATAGTATAAAACCAGACGAGGCATCTGTGAAGCATGTTCTCAATTACTGTTTATAGCTAATTGACTGAGCCATGTGTGACGAACAGCTGCTACACTGGAGCAAGACTGTAATCGACCATCAGTTACGAAGACAGACACCGTGGGGGTGGGGCAAGGGCAGAGGTAAAAATGGGAAAAAATCAGATAAACGATCAAATAATGTGTTTACCTACGTCAGAGTTTTTCAACTGATCTTATTTTTAAGTTTGTTATTTAAGATTTGAAAACAAACTCAAATATGTGCATGTGATGATTAATTTATTTACTGAACAGGAAAATGTGAGACTTTAATAGTTGCAGGAAGGTTAGACTTAAATGTTTGTACAATACTGGTAGCCCTTTTTGTCTCTTGATGCAGAAAAAAAATATTTACAAGAAAAATATGAAGCTTGCAAATTGAATCTGGTAAATATCTGCACATACAGAAATTATACAATTGGTATGAAATCATCCTGACTCTACCTCACCTCGGTGTTAATAAAATACTTTGCCACTTGTCACCAGCTACAGTCAGTGATATCGTGAAAAAAAATACTTGGAGAAATTCAAGTGCGTAAAAAGCCAGAGGCGAGAATCACTGCCTCCTCAGAAAGGACTTTCCGGCCCTGAGGCATCAGACACTGCTGCCACAGTGGACCCAGACACACAGGCTCAGGACTAGTTAAGGACATCATTGTCGCTTAATACATTCTTAATACATTGTTCTAAAGCCTGTGTTTTGCAACAAGAAAGCCGTAGATTTGAATTTTACAGAAATAGTTCTCGGGCCCCAGATAATGGACTGAAAAATTGACCGAGACACATTGGGAGGTGTAGTACTGACTGGACGGACCCTGTTCAGCTAAGACTGGTCAGTGAAGAAGAGAAAACGTATTCCTCTTTAGTATAAAACACAATACAAAACAAGATGGACATCACTGATTAGGACGCAGCGCAGAGCCACATATATATACACACACACACACACACACACACATATATATATATATATATATATATATATATATATACATAAAACAGTATAAAGCTTGGGCCATCAGTGTGTTAGTACCAAAACAAAAACAGCGTGCTTCGTTTTTAGCTCAGTATGTTGAATCTTTCTTCTTTACTTGTGGGTGTTTTTTTTTGGGGCTGTTTTTTTCTCAGCTGAGTCCCAGATGGCAACCAAACCTGATTTAACCGACTGACGGTGGCAGCCCGGACCACATCACAGACTTAACCATCTCAGACACCAGACGGTCTGTGCCACTCCTCGCCAGATGTTTGCTGTGAAGCACAGTCTCTACATTTTTGGGAACTGGAAAAAGGCAGAGGATGTGGAAAAGTCAACGGACATAAAAAGTCTGCACCAGATTTTTTTTAATGAAGAATGCAGACCATAAAACTACTTTGTTGAAACGAGTTGTTTTTTTCTCACTGTGTCCAGTCCTCACCTGTCATTGGACCATTTTGGAATTTCTTTTGTTTTATTTTAGGTTTTGCGATATCAACCGATACCGATATAGGCCTGGTAATATTTATATATTTATCTGTACAAACCACTATATGAGTATGAGGTAATTAAATGACTACAATGTTGCCACCTAGTGACTTTCGCTTAAATATATACAGCCTGGTAATATTTATATATTTATCTGAGAAACCCAAGCATTGCTAAGAGGAAAAACCCAATAACGATTCTTACAGATATTACATACTATGCTAATATCAGGCCGATAATATCGGTCATCTGAGACAATCTATTAGCCGAAGCGGTGAGACACACAAGACGTACACGAGTTTCGGAACTAATCTCAGATGAAGTACGAACAAAGACAAACAGGACGACTGAGAGTGAATAAAGAGAGCGTGTGTGTGTGTGTGTGTGTGTGTGTGTGTGTGTGATGCGGTCTTCTTGTTTGGCAGCCTTTTCATCTGGCAGAGAGTGATTATGGATTTTGGTTCGGGCCTCTTCCACACTGCCACGGAGCACAACAATACAACAGCAACATACTGATTAGTCTGTTGTCTCTCAATAATTCACACACACACACACACACATACGCAGAGCTGACAGTCTGCCAGTCGCACAACATAATGGCTGCGCTCCCTCTGTCTGGATAGAAACAGCGGTCTGTGCCTCAGTTACTGACTCACGGCGAACGCCTTTGTTCAAATTAATCAGCGACCCTGTGGGTTTGATTCCCATTTTCTCCATTCCTCCGACTCTGGTGAGGGTGTTTTATGCTCAGATTACCAGTTGTTAGTGTAAGGGGGGGGCTGTTTAAAGGTGAGTCAGACACCTGTAGGAAAAAATCTGAGGAAATTACAGAAGAAAACAACAGAGTGTTTGTGGTGTTAGCCTGAGTCTAACACTGTGAGGAGGTGGAAGTCGATGCCGTCTGGCACACAGTGACAGCGTCACAGAGCAGCATGCACAATCTCAGTAGCAGATTTGGCTCTGTGTGTCTGTGACTCACACAGTCATGGAGTCTGGCCCGGACCAGGAGCCGGTCCTTATGTCACAGGCACCCGTGTAAACATGGAGAATTATTCATATCAGCTTTCCACAAAGTGGCCCTGGGCTGGATGTTAAGGTGAATCTCAGCCGTGTGGAGCCTGTTGGTATTTCACTATTTCTGCCAGCACAACAATTAAAAAAAATGAAAAAACTAGAGCAGAGTGCATGTGAATTTCAGAAGGCAGTAGCCTTTGACGCGAGAGTATCTCCGCAGGGCAAATGCAGTACAAAGGGGTATTACTTTACAGCGCCGACAATGATGTGAGTAACAATCTGACACGTTCATGACGGAGTGGAATGTGGCCGCATCGGACAGAAGAGATTCTTCAGCGAGGTAGGTCAGACCTCTGTAAAAAAGTGACATTAATTAATGAACGGGGGGGAACACCTGTGGCAGGAAGTTCACACTCGGCCGACTCACAGGCGCTCATTTGTTCTCGTTTTTACCCAGTGAACGACTTTTCATACTCAGATGAAATGCTTCTTTTCACTACAGCTTTTAAGTAGGTCAGAGAGGCAGTAACAGCAGCTCCGGGCACAGTTCTCCCCAAAGAGTAATATGGTAAAATACGACTTCTCCTCAAGGCTTTAGGTTTGTTTACTATTACCGTTTCTTTTCACCGGGAAGCTGATGCAAGTCTTATCAATGTCGGCTCCTACAAGTCACCACCTCGTTACAGTAGATTGGATGAAGAGATGCTGCCACTGCAGTTGGCCTTACAGCACCATGGAGGGCCGTCCTGATCGGGCTAATTTACAAACGGAACATCTTTAAATTGGCAACATGTCGGGACTTCTCTAAAGAAAAACAGCCAGAATTCCAGGTAGAACTAGGTGCAGTGTAAGACTCCAACTATTTCAAGGAGTAAAGATTTTGGATTTATTTATGACAGTAATATTTGTTATTAAAACCTTTAAATAGATGTAAATAGATTTTAATGCAGAAATTGGTAAGAAAAAAAAATCCTTATATAGTATAAGGTTGATAATTGAAGAAAACTGTCAGGTCTGTCTGTTCTCTGTGTCTGCTGTGTGGGTTAATCATGTCATTAGTCTCACTGGTGTCACCTGGTGCCTTGTGTATATATATACCTCTCTCCCTCACTCTGTCCTGGTGGGATCATTGTATCTGTTCAAGTCTGTGCCTGTGCGCAGCTCAGTGTATGCTTCAAATCCTAGTTTGTACTTAGTAGTTTATGCCTTGTTTCTGGTCTTGTAAAGAAATTAACTACCTGCACCACAGAGTCTCTCCAGTACTGCATTTAGTTCCTGCCTGCTTCCTGCCACGTTGACGGCTAATTCAGCATCTTGCTAAGAAAAAACATTTTATACACACGCTGTATGTGCAGCTTGAACCAACCATACTGAGCTCATTATGAGGTGTTGAGATTGATATTGATCTTCTTACCGACCTCACACCAGGAAAATCAAACAGTTTAGTCAAAACCATCTGTCGCTGCAACAATTTAAATCGTCATCACCTTGTTGTGTTTGCTCATAAATTCAGAAATGAATCTAATGTTATCAGTGTCAAACAGAAGGGGTTCTAATCCCCCTGATCTCTGGTCGTACTTCACTGGAGCCTGTGATCAGTGTGAGTACCTGGGCATCTTCTCCATGGTCCGCTGCTAAGGTGGGTTCTCCAGGCAGCGGCTCTCCGTTGTGAACAGGGGAATCCTGGGATGGCGTGTCGGGGGGGTTAATGACCACAGACCTCTCAGAGCGACTGCTGTCCTTACTGCTCCCAGCTTTGTGTCGCTCACGCCTTTAACAGATCAACAAAACATAAACATCAGCTGTTGAAACCCACCAACAAATTTGGCATCCACTCATATTCCCTCTTACTTTTTTGTCTATTTTCCACTAAATAAGATCATACTTTACGGTCTGGTAATAAAGGTGTCTTTTGTTCAAATCCTTGGCCTAGCAGGTCTGTGATAGTGTTTAGCTAGCAGCAGAGAGTAATCCAGCAAGCCTGTTTAACTCCAGGACTTTTTCTAAGGATTCAGTTCATTTTCCCAACACAACTCCAGTCAAACACTGTATTTGCACCAAGTGCATTCCAGTGAAAATTCCACAATGACGAGGCTCAGAGTGGGTGTGACCCCAGACGAGGAGCTTTAAATGAAAGCCACAGACACAGAATAGGAAATCAGGACAGAAAACATACCCATGTCGATTCGATCTCCCGGAGCGACTGGAATAGGAGTAACCCGAGTGTGTTGACTCAGTGTCCATTCTAGTTCAGAGGCAGTGACCGACCAGGGGGCTGAGGGGAGACGCCTTGTGTGGCAGAGACGGTGGACTGGCAGCAACGATCAGGAGGAGGAATGGGTTGCTATGGAGACGAGCCTCTGGAATCCACAGCGACACAGTGCTACCACAGAGAGTTGATTTATCGGCCACATTGACCTGAAAAGTGAAGACTTGAGGTTAGCATGAGAGATCGGTCTATTTGAGGAGGGGGAGTTTGATCTTTAAAAAGATACTGTACAGAACAGCGCTGTGTTGAGGACCTTGAATGAAACGTCACCCATTCTATGGTTAAAAAGATTTTTTTTGTTGTTTAGCAAACAATGGCTTTACGCCCCTTGGGTCTGTTTGGATAAATTAAATTGTTAAATTAACTCTGGTTATGCAATAGTAATTGCAAATGTCCAGACACATTTTGGCTGAATGTAGTTTAAATAATAACTAAAAGATTGAAAAATTCCTTGTGATGGTAGATGGTCATCTCTTCACTGAGGTTCACTTCACTGACCATCGAGTCTAAATGTGAAATACCCCTGTGCTGTGCTGGTTTATGATCAGCTTGAGCTGCCAGACACACTTCCTGTGCCTTAATGGGCCCATCTGATGAATGACGATGTCTATTGGCTCACCAAGCACGACCATTCACTTAGACCCCAGGAAAAACCTCAATCTATTAGCTGTCAGGCTGCCAGTCACATCCACACCCTGGGCTCATTTACCAAACTGGGATTATTCTCCTCTATTGTCTCCACTACACTACAGCCATTTCTTTATATTGCAGCAGCCAATGGTGCAGAAAACGCCAACACGTCCCATTCACTCTTTAAGGATACACAACAATCAAGGCTGTTTGCGTTTGTATGGAGATAATAATGTCAGTATTATGAGTTTAAAAATAACAGATATTCGGCTGAATTCAAGTGTACAGTAATGCTACAAATGATTTTCTTTTGTTCTGTAACCCATAACATGGGCTATAACCCATAACATGGGCTATAACCCATAAAGACAACACAATGACACTCAACTCTGACTGGCTGTCAATCCAGTTACATACGGAACCAAGAGTGGAAAAATATGTTAAAAAAATAAAAATTAATTAATTAATACACACACACACACACACATGCAGCGACCATTATTCTGTATTGTAATGCTGTCAAATATTTTTTATACAAAAAAATCAAATTTATCACCATATGTTGACAACATACAGTATATATTTCTGATGTATTTGTGGCAGATGATGGCAGGTGTTGAAATATTACGGTTTAATATCTGTGTCCAGTTTGTTCTGTACTTTGAGTACATATAAAAATAAGTTTAAAGCAACAGTGTGTTGAACATAAGTTGAAGGACAACAGGATTAAAAAAACCAACCGTGGTTTGTGCTGTTGATATACCAGTTCAGAGTTCAGTAAAACTATACGTAGGTTCCAGCAGCTGCACTTGTGTCATCGGAATTATGAAATAAAAATGAATCACACCAGATTTAAACATGTCCCATCTCTTTAGACCTGTGGCATCCTAGTGAAAAATGATGTGCTGATAAAAGCACACTTTCGCTGGGAGAGAACATGACATCATCCTCCACTGACACACTTACTTGTGCTACTAAAAGCAGAGGAAAGGAAACGAGAGCGCGCTGGATACACAGGCCGTCAATTAATAATGCACTGGAAAGTGGTGGAACAGCATCAAAGCTGCCGTCGGAGCATCAACATTTTATCATACAAGCAAAGAGAGGACAGTATCGCTCGTCTCTAACCCGCAACTGGAGCGTCCACTGTTGCCTTGGCAACAATAGAAGGCAGAGAGCCCCCATCTCACAGCAATAATCCATCATCCCCACTGAGAGTACATTTGTGTGATACAATAACATGTGTGTGTGTGTGTGAGAGAGAGAGAATGGGGGTGCGTCGGCACAGTGAGAGGGCACGAGGACCAAACAATGGCTCCCCGTCCCTCCCAGCGCTCGTACGGTTAAATGAACGGACCTACGAGTTGAATAAAAGCTGTTGACCCCAGCAGGGCTGATCTCTGAACGTGTGTCAGTGGTATGTGGGCCAAGATGATCCCCCAACGACAAGCCACTCACACACAAGGCCCGAGCACGAAGAGGCTTCAAGAACCAGGCCACGTGGAAAATCACCACCAGGGGGTAAAAAAAACTATCAGTTACAAAGTGAGGAGTAATGATGAATAAAGCATGCAGGAATAACCATGTCAGACATGGCCCCTTTCTTGAACACTGGTCCGTCCGGAATATTCCGCAGCCCTGTGTGAGGGTGCCTGTCTGGGAAACGTAATCTCTGGTGAAGCGTAGCCGCGCTCGTCTCAGTGGGTCGTTCTGGTTGGCTGCACAGAGATGATCTTCACGAGGGCAGAAAGTGACACTAATGTAAAACAAACTCTGGTTAATGTGTTTGTTCAGCGGATGGAGGTTGTTGCCCAGTGGGAGCCACTGAATGAACACATGGACAGGATTAGAGATGAGACTCGTGTACTGTGAACTGAAAGAGTGAACAGACTGCAACAATGTGATCATTGTTTCTCTACACCCGAAGGGTTGTGGGTTTGATTCCAGATTCGGTCTGTTGCTGACACCCTGCCCAGACAGCCTCACTGTCAGTAGGTAGATGGATAAACCTGCAGTCCATACGTTGGTTCTCAAAGTAGGGGGCCCGCCCCTGTAAGGGCCACTGACAGCATTTTAACTTTTTCTTCAATTTTGTGAATTTGTTTTTTTATGATTTATAGGTTGAAAACATGTCAGTGTTGTTCAACAGCACTGCCTCCTGCTGGGCTTCAGTCATCATGTTGTCAAGTCGAAGTCGAAGGTTGTACAAATTTATCTCTGGGCCCTCGTTAGAGATAGAGGAGCCGCACAGACAACTGAGTGGCTCAAGTGCTACTACGTATCAAGTGGAGCCAGTTCATTTTAAGGGCAGCTGCCTCTATGGGAGGTGAGAGGTGGGTGAGGGGGAGAGTCTCCCGTGCCCATGCTGAAGGAGAGCTACAGTTGACCCAGGGCTTACAGCAGCAGAAAGGTGCCTACTCCTTCACCAGGAGGTGGTAGACGATGCCTGTGAGTCTTGTCTGGGTTTCTTTAAAAAACCTGACACCAGACCCAGATAAGTGAGAGGCCTGGACTAGACTAGACATCGTGATCTACTGGGGAAAAAAAAGACACGGAGCAAGAGCATGACACACACACTTTACAGGAAACAGTTTACTTCTGCTGATCTGTGATTGGACGTGATGAAAAATAACCACATAGACACGTGGATTTGTCCAATGGCAATAGTAGACAGTCTAGGTCAAGTTTATTTTTAATTGGATAGATTTTGTTAGCCAACTAGATAAGCACTTAGTTAGCATTGGTGTGATTCCCAGAAGCACCAAATGCAAAAAAAAAAGAAAAAAATGTTGCCACTTCCGACTTTACTTTTCCATCACTTTCCTGTTCCAATGTCTCTGATCCTGGTCCTGTTACCGTCTGACATCTGTGGTCTCCCCTCCAACCATTAAGTCTCATGACTTCCCCTCCATCACTACTTCTCCTTCAAGTGCATCCTACCCTTGTGGCATTGAGCCAAGGTCTGCCTGATGCGCCAGTCTCCCCCAGTGCTGTGATCATTGCAGTCGATATTTTAAAACATATTTCCTGTCATAAAATATTCAAAAGAACTAAACAATATTTAAGAAGCAGCAACTGGTGGACGTTCACATGCGTCCTTGATGGAGGACATAGTTGATTTTTTTTTTTTAAATTGGACTGGTTTACCTCACAAATTACAGTTAATTGAATAGTAAACTGAAAACAGACCGAAGGTGTTGGCTGCATGTGGTGGACTTGAGGATTTACTCTGGCCATGACGTGGAGTCAACTTGGACCAGTTCCAGCTCCCTTTATGACCATCCCTATATGAGATGATGGATGGAACCACGGTACTTTAATTCACTTTCACACTAACTAACAACCGCGCGAGACGAACTGGACATCTGAGTCCTCAAGGTGATCATGATCATGAGGACAGGGAGAACATTATACTATACTGGCATAATATTCTAACAGGAAAGCAGCCAACGCTACCTGATGAAGGTCAGGCTAGTACATCTCAGAGACAAGTACTGTATGAAGATAAATTACTTTTTACTCTCACATTCACACCTGTTACTGTAGATTCTCACGCAGACTTTATACATCTGGGAAATGGGTGAAAAATAGAGCTGTCCGTCATTAACTTTTTGCCGATATCTGATATGCCGACACTGTCCAAACACTAAATTTGCGATTCTGATATCAACTGATACCGATATACTCAACCCTTTGGCTCCAAAACTGCGGTAACATCTCACGCAAAACCCAGGCATTGCTTTATCGATTCTTACAGATATTACGTAATTATGCTAATATCTGTATATGGTCTATACAGGTATCTGTATCTGACATCTGTGTTTGTCACTGTTAGTAATGGTCATCATGGTGACCTTCAGCCTGTGTCATGGACTATCAGGAACGCTGCCTTGTCTTTATGGCCCTGTCACTGTCTGATTGTTAGAGGCTGTTTCAAAGTGACATTTGATTCTGGGCCCAAGTATGCTACATGACAGATAGGTATGTGCAGAGAGCAAACCTGTGACCTTTGAGTGAGTGGATACAGTCTCAAATACTCTCTCACACACACACACACTCATGTACATGCACTAAAGAAGGGGGCGTGCGGGGTGGGGTGTGAGGGGAGGGTTAAGACCTGACACATTTGTTTGGAATGCAAACTCAGGCTCCTCCGTTCAGCTCATGTGAAACTTGGTACAAGTTTAGTGGAAGGAGAGACGGTGAGGAAATGCAGGGTAGCAGAGCAGTGGAAGTAATGCCACACTACAGTACTGTACCAAAAACACTAACGTGTTTTCCATTAAAACATGACCAACATCCAGCGTTTATACACTGATCACAAATCCTGGAAATCGAGCGGTCGACTCTATTTCTTGCTCCACAAAAAAAGGGAACAATAACAAAGACATTACCAGGGCGCCTTTCTTTTGATCATTCATGACAAGAATACCTTCCAGGGGGATGACTCATGTATACCAGGGGTTCCCATAGCTCTCACTGCCCTTCGGCTGCCCGGCACACAGGACCCATCAACACTGTTCAATAATACATGGCCGGAGGTGCTGCATGGTTTCACTGCAGCATGATGAGGCAGCCTCCCAGGGACTCTCAGGGACATGACAGTGTCAGAGGTGAGCGCACAAGTGAAGCTCCTTCAGACGCACCAAAATCTCTTTATCCAGCGGCCATGCCCGAGACGGAAGCTGCTGCTGCTGCTGGTGATGATGGTGATGATGGTGGCGACACACACCAGTGCCCCCGCTGCTGCATCTGAAACCGCCCTTTATTTCTCAGGCTCCTCCAGATTCGGAGTGCGATGTGCTGGATTCACTACGTGTGGTGTTCTCCTCCATTACAACGGTGCAGCTTCACTTACAAAAGAGACGGTTTCAGGTTCAACCTCCTACTCCTTAATCACCCCCCAACCCCCCCACTCCTCCTCCTAACAATTAGTGCGTGTATTCTGCTTAATGCAAGGAATTCTTACCTATAAGTGATAGTGAAACTCATAAATGCGGAGTAAATTATATTTGAATCGATTTGGGCTTAAACACCAGAAAAAAATATTTTTTAAAAATGACCACGAGTGTTTGGTGTGACGAAAACCATCTTCACAGCCATGAACTTCATTAGAAATCACTATGGGGGTCGTGTCTAAAGCTGTCGGCTCAGAGACCGGGTGTAAACCGGTGCAGCATCGCGGTGATATGAGATATAGATGAACCTACCTCTCTACCAGATGGAAGTCATATTCCTTCTCCTGCGTCTCGTTGTGAAGGTGTGACTGAGTCGCCGCCGTCGCTCCTCCTTGTGTCTGCGCGCCTTCCTCCTCTAGAGCCTGGCCATTGTGATGAGCAGGAGCACCAGAGTGGAGGAGGAGGAGAGCAGCATGGAGGGAGGTTCCGTTTACTCCGGAGTGTCACCACAAGAAACGCTTTCACCTAGTGACCACTAGAGGTCGCGCTTTCGGTGTGTTTCAGAAAGCAGGTTTATGGTTTTGCTACTGTATCATGGAAGCCAGATCTGTCTATGGAAAGCGACTTTCTTTAAATTCGCTCAAAATATAGAAATAAATCATAAACAAATTGACCTGATTTAAAAAGACGGATGACAGAACTGGTGTTATTAAGGTCAGAAACGAAGTGGCCATGCATTATTATGTATACATTAAGTTGTCTCACTATTCCTTTTTTAGGCCGCATGATTTTCCTTACCGAGTAAAAATTAAGGTCCAACTTTGTTTCTTTATTAACCGATATTTAATACAAACTGTTATCACTGTTGTTTATTATTCCTTGATAAGTCCACGTTAGCCTCGTCACGTTTGTTTATAAACAAAAGTGAAAGCCCTCCTGTTTCAGAATGCAATATGTGAGTAAAAGCACCACGTTGCGGCTGTATGCAGAACAACACCTGGATAACACGAGACTAAATATACTTATACTAAACTAAACCACATTTGGTTGCACACTAAATACACTAACAAATGCAAAGGCATACAAGTTGAACTTTTTAATGTTGTTTGTATATTTATATTTCCACAAAACAATGCTTGCAATAATCACAACATTTGTAGTCACTCACATTTTATATTTTTACATAAAAGATGTATTCTTAATTTCTCTACTCTTGGATTTAAAGTTAGATGATAGTTCCATTTGGATTGAAATCGTCTGTGTGCTTCAGTCTAGTGTGTGCGGTGAGTGCAGGGTGCAGACAAAGGCCTGTCATTCTTAATGCTGCAGTAGACATGTACAATACCAGCAGCCCCCTGGGCCACATTACTCTGGAGGGACCCACATAAAGAGATGAGAGATGGAGCACAGATCTGACTAAGGGAGAAAAAAAGGCAACAACTCTGAGCTTCATACACAATTCCTTGTGTGTGATTTTTTTTTCCTGTTCTTCATTTTTTACTGCATGCCATGTGCTGAACTTCAAATGCCTAATAAAAATGCTTCTAGGATGAGGTAGAAATTTAATATATGCAATATACTGTACATTATTACGGCCACACACTAAGCAGATTGTATTTTTTTTCTGAATGTGCTCCTCCTAGTGGTCACAGTAAGCATCTTATCAACTGCCTTGCAAAATTCACTTTTTCAATGTAATTATTATGTTGGTGTTTTTACGATTTTTTTTTCACCAGCTACTACCTGCTAGTTACCCCGTTATTTTAGTACTGTGCTAAACATCTACACTAAATCATTTCCTGTCTTTACTGCTTTTACTTTCTCTTCTTTTTTCCTATTGTAATCCCAGTTCTCAATTATAAATGGTGGCAGTATCTGCGTTTGTCCCTTGCCCAACATAGAGAAGAACCATCCATCCATCCATTTTCATCCACTTATCCATTACCGGGTTGCAGGGGCAGCAGTGTCCACGACCGCCACCCAAATCACACTGCACCACACAACCTTGAACCTTCCTGCGGGTGGTGAGCCCACTGGAAGGTAGAGAAGAACCATTAGACTAATTTATCGGAAGAAAAAACAATTCTTACAGACATTACATAATTCCGCTAATATTGGACAGATTGTCCTTTTTTTTTTTAAATGACCTTTGATAAAAGGGCATCTTTGGCATCTTTGAGTAGTCAGCACTAAAACCACACAGTGTAGACCTAATATCACACCACCAATAAACCATATGCTGCTCATGCAGTGACCTCCAGAGTGACATATGGTCTGATGGAGATACAACGTACTGCATGTGTTCGAGGTGCAGGGACTAACAGGTTGTGTTCATCATTGGTTCTGAGGCCTCTGCCTGAGAACATTTGTTGGTCGACATCCTATTCCCTTTGGCTCTCTTTACTGGAGTCGTCGGCCGCTCAGCTCTCACTCTGAACACGTCACACTGCTCCGGAAGCAGCCCTTTGTTAAAGATCACAGACGCCAGATAAGAGAACAATAGGATGGCAGCAGTGGTCAACAGCATGGACATGGTTTTAACTGGAGCATACTGGACATAAACTCCATCCTCAAGGACACATCCTGGTAAGTGGATGACAACCGGGAGGCCAAGTGATGAGGCTCCACAGAGCAGTCTCAGCACCATTCCTGCCACGCAGCCCATAACTGCACCGTAACCATTAGAAATATTGAAGAAGAGGATGCAGAACAGCTGAGGGAAGATCACGATGTAGGCAACTTCCGCAGTAAGAAAAAAGAACAATAAGGTGCTGTTTGTTTCGTGGGCTAATATCGAACCCACCAAACCTACCACCAGGATACAAGCACGGATCACCCAGGCCAGTTCTCTGTCTGATGCCTGGATAAGAAGGCAGAGAGAAAAAAATTAGAATTTTTCCTGTAACCTTTGACCATCCCTAACTTCACCTGCCTTTTTACAGATGTTTGCTAGTTCTAAAGCAGTGGGACCTAATCCTGTTCCTGATCTGATTCTGATGTTATCCCCTATTTTTTGGGTTGGTGTAGACGGGATTCACCTGTGTGTGTTTGTGTACACTGTATGAGCTGCACAGGTTTTCATTATATTACTTGCAACAGTGGGTATTTACCGCGTCTACATATGGAGCCAGGTCATAACAAACCCCACGGCGTTCTTGTCGGAGTAATAATCTTCACCTCACCTGTGGTCTGAAAATTCCCTTGTAGATGTTGGAGGTAAAGACAGAAGTAGTAGAAATCAAAATAGAGTCGGCTGATGACATCACGGCAGCAGCCACACATCCAATACCAATGATGGAGATGAAGGGCGGGGTCAGGTGCTGCAGGGCGATGGGCAGAATCATAGCGCTTTCACCACGTTCATGTGGGAAAGGTGAACCATAAGATGTCAGGTTCCAATCTGAGAACGCAGAAGAGAGGCCGGAAAACATGGTCACATGATGTCTGAGTGGTCCGCTCTGACACCAGGTTGACCTCCACATATTGACTTAAAAAAACATTATTAAAACCAGCTAAGTACAGTACATGAAGATAAAAAAAATCCCTCCTGATGTGGTATCCCACCAATGTTGTGTACAGGAAGAAAGACAGCTGCAGCAAAAACCTGTAGATGTGGCAGCTGCTCCAATCAGCACGGTGGGTGCTATAAGAATGGGCAGGACAATGGCAGCAAGCACACTGGTGGTCTTAAAGGTGGCTAAAGAGGAAGCAGCCAAAGTCCTCTGGTGAAGGCACTGATATCCCAGACTGCCTACTGACTACAAAAAGTAGAAAACAGTTGTTACTTTTCCTATAAAAGAATTAGTCATTGACTTCCAGATTGGGGACAATATTCTGAAATGACATTATAATATAATATAATATAATATAATATAATATAATATAATATAATATAATATAATATAATATAATATAATATAATATAATATAATATAATATAATATAATATAATATAATATAATATAATATAATATAATATAATATAATATAATATAATATAATATAATATAATATAATATAATATAATATAATATAATATAATATAATATAATATAATATAATATAATATAATATAATATAATATAATATAATATAATATAATATAATATAATATAATATAATATAATATAATATAATATAATATAATATAATATAATATAATATAATATAATATAATATAATATAATATAATATAATATAATATAATATAATATAATATAATATAATATAATATAATATAATATAATATAATATAATATAATATAATATAATATAATATAATATAATATAATATAATATAATATAATATAATATAATATAATATAATATAATATAATATAATATAATATAATATAATATAATATAATATAATATAATATAATATAATATAATATAATATAATATAATATAATATAATATAATATAATATAATATAATATAATATAATATAATATAATATAATATAATATAATATAATATAATATAATATAATATAATATAATATAATATAATATAATATAATATAATATAATATAATATAATATAATATAATATAATATAATATAATATAATATAATATAATATAATATAATATAATATAATATAATATAATATAATATAATATAATATAATATAATATAATATAATATAATATAATATAATATAATATAATATAATATAATATAATATAATATAATATAATATAATATAATATAATATAATATAATATAATATAATATAATATAATATAATATAATATAATATAATATAATATAATATAATATAATATAATATAATATAATATAATATAATATAATATAATATAATATAATATAATATAATATAATATAATATAATATAATATAATATAATATAATATAATATAATATAATATAATATAATATAATATAATATAATATAATATAATATAATATAATATAATATAATATAATATAATATAATATAATATAATATAATATAATATAATATAATATAATATAATATAATATAATATAATATAATATAATTTTTTATTTATATTAAATCTGGTCAGTTTACCTCAAAAGTAAGAAAGACATTTCCAGAATTTAGCTATTTAAATAGAAATATCCTAAAAATATGACTGTTGTCACATTTACTGCTCCTGTGGTTCTTTAATGAAAGCAGCGCTGTGTAAATGTGCCATGTGGACCACAGTGTTGGTTCATCTTACAAAGAGTAAGAAGTTGTCCATCATGAGTCCAATCCTCTTCAGCTCTGGTTTGCCGATCCATGGCCCGTGCAGTGTGTTGTTCATCAGTGTCTGGCTAATGTTCTTGCAGTTTGGATTCATCAGAATGAAGGGAACACAGAGCCACTGCAGAGATCCACTGGGAGGTTAGCTTTGGACAAAACGAAGCTCTTTGTAAATTCTCAAGGGGTCAGCATGGGGTGCTAGGGTACTCACCAAACTTATAAATATGAGGAGAAGCTGTATAATATCTGTATAGGCCACAGAGTAGAATCCTCCCATCAGTGTGTAGATAATGACAGTGGCAGCGGAGATCCAGACACACACATTGTAGGGCAAATCTAGAACAATGCTCATGGTTCCTCCTGTCAGACAAGGAATGTTAGTGGAATCCTACAGAACTCCAGTCTGTGTTTTCCGTTACTATGCATAATGTAATTATCAGGTGGATAGATCAGAAGGGTGAATAAGAAGTTGCACAATGCATCAGATTGCTTGGTTTTGAAATAACACGTTAAGGCACATCTCCCCCTATTGCTTTGATTGAGTCACTGTTGTGGGACTTATTGGTCTTGTTCTTCAACCATAAAAAAGTTAGGAATAGTGCAGCAATCTCTAAAGTTATAACCAAACTTTTTTTTTTTAAAATATTTTAGTTTTATTACTTTTCCTCCCAAAACCGAAAAAAAATTGAACGGTTTTTAGTTTTATTTTTTTGGGTGATGGGAAAACATATAGGTTGTGACCTGGTTGGGACAAACATCCAAAGAACAAAGTCTATGATAGAAACACTGTTTGCATTGCTGTTGTATTTTTTTAATGTTAAATAAAGATCTCTTTAGATTCTTTTGCTTTGACTCTTAAGCAGACTTAACTGTGTATTTTATTGATTAAGTGCACAAAAAAAAGAAAAACAACCTCACCAAGACCAATAAGTGATGCAGGCACCCACAATATCTCAGCCAAAATTGAAAATAAGGACAATCCAGCCGTCAGTACTTTTCCATACTTGACTTGGAAAGGGTCCATTATTGTCACATAGTTCTTTTCCCTCAGTGGTTTAGCAAACACAAAAGCACCTTGTTTAAAAAAAAAAAAGAGAAAAAGAAAAAAGAAAAGGTCACATCTAGATTTCAGCTACAAAGAGAAAAAGTGGTAAAACATAGAACAAATGTTTAGGCCATACTCACATAAAAGAAAAGAAGCGCTAAATGCACTGAGCATCATGATGACATCGATTAGTCCCTGTGATGGAGTGTACACCATCTCAGCTGTGCCGACAACCATGCCCCCCCCAACCCACGTAGCTGAAAGACAGGTCGGACCACAGCTTAGATACTTATGTCAACAGTGATTCATCCAGGAGATTTCTGACACTTTACTTCTCATTGGCAGAATAAGATACTGTACGACCAGGTGAATGTTGCTAAATGAATAGAATAAACATATTCTAGCCCGCAGGCTTTAATGAAAAACACAGTGTTCTTAATTACTCAATTTTGTTTTCTTGACAAACCTAACACTCAACTCAACCA